GGAGGGAGGGTGGGAGGGAGGGAGGGAGGGAGGGAGACGGAGGGAGGGAGGAAGGAAGGAAGGAAGGAAGGAAGGAGAGAGGGAGGGCAGGCAGGGCAGGGCGCCAAAGATTGGTACTGGTCGGACAGCCCAAAAAGGCCCGAGAACCCACCAAACCGATGCTTTTTGCACCCCAGTACGAGTTCGGGAACCAGAGCAGAACATCAGCTGCCAAACGGGTTTCAATCCAACCCGGATCCCAGGCAAATCACTATAGAAGGAACCAGGGTGAGTTTCTGGGTCTATTGTTCTTTGTCTTTGGAACCACTGGTTTCCAGCTATAGTGGTAACTGGATGCCCTAACCAAACAAAGATCCAACAACTGCCCAAAAGGAAGGGCACGGTATCTACAGAGAGTTCAAAGTAGATGGCACAAACCGCAAGAACATATTTTAATAAAAGGGTTGTGCCATCTACTCTGGGTCCATGATACATAACACATCATAACATATCATAACACTGTTGTTGCATAACACTGTTGCTGCTGTTGTTGTTGTTGTTTTTTTTTTTGTCCGCCTGTTTTGTACCTGGCGCGTGAGGACGTCATCCTGGAAACCCAAACACCCAGAAACAAATCCCCAAAACATCCATGCACATGCATGACATATTTACCGGTCAATTGGTGTGGTTTGAGGGGTCAATCTAGGTGAATATGCCGTTCATGGATTGTAAGGGAATGGTTGTTCCATCAACGCTATTTGAGATCCTCTACCTACGAAGTGTCTGACATTGGGGAACCATCCAGAACTGTTTCTGGTAGAAAAGAGGGTTGCAGGCTATGATGTAGCAAAGGGGCCTCTCGTGCCAGAGCAAAGGCTTCCATGGTGGGCAGCACGGTTTTTGAAGCTCCAAAGATGGCTGCAAACATGGACAATGGCCGTGACGGAGGGGCTCCCCGATGCATGGGTGACGATGGTTGATCGAAAATGATGGAAAAACAATGAAAAACACATGGAAAACTCGTCGTGCATTCCAACAGAGATTGAAGAATCCTATACTGTAGACTATCCCATAGGTACCCCACCAGGGTCTTACAAGGTCACTTAACCTCTCTAGGTTCTTCCAAACCACAGACAAATCACATAAGCAGGACCGGTTGGCTGCGCATCCATGCGCGGGCCAGCGCTGGCTGGTGTCGGCTTCATGCCAGGGACCGGTTGGGGGAGGGTGGAACAGGAACTGGACTACCCTACCCTACCATACCACCATACAGCCCACTAAGACATATATCTGAGACTCCATTGGACAGCCCAAATCTAGATGACCCGGCCACCAATTCTTTCAACCAGCAGTTCCATGGAGTGGGGTGCTATCCATTCAGGAAGTCGGGGGTGCCCCTGTCACATCCACTCACTACGTGGATCGAAACTAAAAAAAATATCGATCCTTATCTGTGACTCCTGGAAGCATCCGACGGATGGACTCGAGATCCAAGCAGTTGATCGTAGTTGATGAGGTGTATCTTTTTCAGGTCACATACCAAGCGGTGTATCTTCGGTGCGACCCGATTCCCTATACGGATCCAACCAATGTGTTGGTGATATGTTCGATGTCCAACACATCATCTTTTTCAGAAGGTACGACCCACCAGGTCGCTGGACGAGGTCCCGGATGCTGCGCTGTGCCGGATGCTGGTCCCCCAGTCGTCCGAAGCAAGAAGGGCGAAGAAAGGATCGAAGATTGAACATCACCCTCACCCACCGGAATCTTCCCAATGTCATCAAATGTCATGCCCTATACGGCTCCAAGTATCTTCTAAGGCTTCTAAGAAGGTGGGACTGGGGTGGGTGCCAGGAGGCTCGAGTCTTGTAGGGGTTAAACACATGTGTCTTTGAAGCTGGGTTGCATCGAACTCACCAGTTCAACCATGCAACCATGCCCACCCCAGCCCCCAAACATCCATCAACCTCGCTCAGTTCGGCGGTCGAGACGGCCGCCTGATGTCTCGGATGTTCCTGGGTACCCAGCTGGGACACCTCGGAAGGGAACAAGGCCTCTTGGACCAATCTGAGGAAACCAAATCTATCATAGTAATAGAACCCCTGTCATGAGGTCAGATGCGTGCCGGTGTGTACGTAGTTCTCACGGAGGTGGTAGACGACGGCCCGGCGCCGAACAAAAAAAACACAGGGTTCCGGTCTCCCACCATCGATTTAACGTCCTTTTTTGAACATGGTTTTAACTAAGAATTTTTACACTATATAAGTATTTACAAACCTAGAATACCTTATAATACAGTAACCTGAGTTAACTAAAGATTTTACTAATTATACCAACCTAAGTACTTATATAGGGAAACACATGGAGAAAAACACACCAAAAAAAACACCTTTCTCAGGAACCTGGTCCATGTTCGGCCCCGGCGCCGGACGCGGTGGTTGGATGGAAACAAAAACGTCTTCGGTCCCTTCTTGGACCAACGAAATCCGACCAAATGGGGCGAAAAAAACCGAACAAAATTCATGAACAAAAACAACATGGTCAGCTCACTGGGTGCTTTTGAATTTTGGTCTTGTGGGATGTTCAACCTTACGCTAAGAATCCGGGTCCGAAACAACACATAGGGGTTTTGAGGGTCGATCCCAAACATCGAAGTGTGGTTGGACTTGTAAGGTGGATTCGCAAACAAAACCCTGGTTCTGGCAACCCGAAATCGAATAATGTTTTGTCTGACCAAATCCAGAGGTCCCTTCCCATCTGCTCAACCAACCCAATGTATGTGAATATAATATATATATACATACCAGGATCATCCTGTCTGGGTGTCCTGGCCGCCAGACTGCCCTGCGTAAATAGGTCTCCAGACAGGGCACCCAAACAGGAAGTGCTAGGATACCTGAATGTATGGGATATATATATAAATATATATATATATGAGGTGCCCTGGTCGACATGTGCGTGATTTTCCAGCGGCGAGGTGTGTCGACCCTTCCACGCCTTGGGTGGCCAGGGATCTTCTGAGTCCTGTCAGCACATCGCCCGGCAAGAAGCAATTCACAATGGCATCGAAGATACAAATAGAGATGTAAGATATAGATTCAGGTTCTGCATTGACCCACTGGGCAGTAAGGTTGCAAAATGATAGTACTATAGTATCAATAAAAAACATACTATATATACCCTGAGTCTCCAAAGCCTTTTTTTCTGCGTTTTTGTTTTGGATCTAATATTTTTGCGTTTTTGCCCGAAAAATGCGTTTTCAGAGATGAGGACTCAAAAAAAGGTACAATGTGAATCTTCATCCGGACGCGTCCGGTGCGGACGCTTAAAGACGCCGTTTGGACGCAAAAAGACGCATTTTGGACGCCGAAAAAAGGTCTCAGGATACTGTCTAAGGAGGATCTGACAGGGCACAAACAAAAAAGGAACATTCCGTGACATATGCCAAAAAATGTTTTCTTTCAAAAACATCTTTTTCTTGGAAAGGCAAAATTAAAAGGGTCATTGGAGACTCAAGGTATACAGTATACATCGTTCATTTTTAAGATCCTGACGCAAAAAAAGGTCGCATTTCTGACATTTCATCTCTCTTCTACTTTCTTCAGCGTCTAATTTTGGGACGCCCGCCCAATACAACCAGGACGTGAACCGCACGATACCGGACGTCCGTCGCGCACACTGGTTGGAATGAGTCGCTTTCCCCCACTGTCAGGTGAGGGTCCTTAGTTTCTATGTCAGCTGCCGTCCTCGTCCTCCTCCTTCTCCTCTGCCACCTCCTCGGGACCTCAACCGCCGATGGCAGCAGCGTTCCCCACCGGACCTCAACCGCCAGCTCCGGATGGCAATGTTCCCCGCCGGACCTCAACCGCCAGCTCCGGATGCCCGCCGGACCTCAACCGCGAGCTCCGGCTGGCACTGTTGCCCATGGGACGTCAACCGCGAGCACCAGCCGACCTCAACACCAGCCCGCCGGACCCAACCGCCAGCGCCACCCTGCTTGCCTCTCGGTCCCAGCCGACCAATGCAATGCTAAGGGTTTCCGACATGAATCTTGCCGCATCCTCTAGATGTGCAGTGTGCAGTTCATGCAAAAGCGATAGTCTGCCCGCGGATGGCGGATGCCTTTCTGCTTTTCACGCACAGGTCCAGGTTTGTGTCGCTCAGCTACAATCTTCCGAATATCAGCTCTGCCGAGAGATGATAAGCAGGAATATCATAGGCTAAAGAGGTTTGATTTAACTTTTGAAAGCCAATGGGGACCGGCCGACCCAAAGCGAGTTCGCTAGCGCAAATTTCGGCATTGCAGGCGTCTTTCGCCTGTCACAGGAGAAGAAATCACTGCTGTGTTAAGAATATAGCCACATCCATGGAGTACCGTCCTCGTACTTGCCAGATGGGTGAGCCACACAACTTCCCAACAGCTCAGATTCTGGAATGGGTGGCCAAAGCTTGCAGTAAATGTCTTGTACAGTGCCATGGTAACATCTGCCCCTTTCTGAGCTCACCACGTGGCTGCACCAGACTCTGCTGGGTATGGTTGCTGATGACAGCGGCTGTGGGAACGCGGCCAGTGACGCGCCAGCTCACTGAGGTCCCGCCAAGCATTGTCACCAGCGCCAAGCCGTGTAAGCCGCAGTGTAGCAATGACCCAAGGTTTTTCAGCTGCACCCCCAAGAGAGTCTTCTCGGCCCCAGGTCGGTCGACCAGGTCGGTCTGACTACAGGACATCATGTGTCCTAGATGCTCCTCATAAAAAAGCAGTGTAACACATAGGCACTGCTGCACTGCTCAATGTTGGACGCTGATTAGTAATAGGGCCCTCTACAATGCTAATTTGTTGAAAAATAATTCTTGACACCCTGTTTGTTTTACGGGTCCTCTATTATGCTACTTTTTGGTGGGATCCTATCTTTTATTACCTAAAAGAAATTAGGGTTAAGATGGGTTAAGTATATTTCCGTTAGAAAAAATAGACATAGTACATACTACTTATAAGCCAATGGTTGGCTTGCTGAGAGTATTGATAAGTAGAGGTTTCTATAGTTCTTCTTCAAATCTCACAGCTTCCCAAAGCCATCAATTCCCTAATCAATCCTTTATGTAAAGATTGCTCCTAAACAAATTTTCAAGGTAGTAGACCAGGAAGCCCGTGATCCTCCATAAATTTGTTTTAAGGGTTCTCAACTGTGCAAAGTGTTTTCCTGAAGAAAAATGAACAGGTAATTCTTAATACTACTAAGCCAATGGTTGGCTTGCTCAGAGTATTGATAAGATTTTAATAAGTATAGGTTTCTCAAGTTCTTCTTCAAAAGAATACCTAATGACAAAGAACTTCAGAAGGGAAAATTAATCCTATAATCAATTACCCAGATTCGTTTTGGTGGTAGTTTATTGTAGAGGACCCTCCATTTGTTTGAGGGGGAGACCCCCCTTTACTAATCAGGATCTAACATTATAGTGCATTGGGTCTATCTATTCTATGACCAGGGCCTATTCGTGGATGATGATGATGATGATGATGATGATGATGATGATGATGATGATGGTCCTATTGCAGGCCTTTCTCTAAAATCGTGATGTTCTTGTTTACCGACTGTTACAGGTAATGTTGAGACAAACCCGTCCTCGCACATGTGATCACCAGTGATCCGTGCACCCCCCATCGGTAGTAGTCCTCGATCTTCATGACAGGGCCATCCGAGAATAAGATGCTGGGGAAGGTCTTGGAGGAGTCTGGGCGTGGCGTGACATGCGGAGCTGAACCGTGACAGGTTGGAAGGGAAACACCGTGACAGGTGGTTACCTGGTTGCACAGAGACGGACCTTCCGAGCCCTTTTCGGTGGAAAAGACCAGCGTCGTGGTCCAAAGATTCCACGTGCTTCTGGTGATTTGGTGGGATCAATCCAATCACCGAAGGTGACCGGGTCCTCCACTGACTGGGTAGGGCAACAGATCTGGATGTTTCAGCTGATCTAAAGGTGCTGAGAAAGTTGACATGTCTAGATTCAGTGGAGATGCCAGGTGGGTCAGAAAGTGGAAAACCTCCCTCTACCAGCCACACACAATGCCGTCCAATACCCACAGACTCCACTGGGACTGTTGTTCTCTTCATTTGGGGTGATTTCAAAAGTTCATGTAGGCCTCAGTCCCTTTCTCTGAGGAACCAAAACACACATTTCAGCAATGAGCTTTCCGTTTCAGCTCAGTCTAGCAACTGACAAGCCCGTCTTGCCACAGGCGGTGCGGCTGCAAGTTCAATGGAACATCTTCATCACCAAAATTATGAGCTAGAACCACTGCTGCACGTTGCTAAAACAATCATCACCCTCGCTCTGAAAAGGCGCTGGCGCTTCCGGTTGCCGGCACTTCCCCGTTCGCTTCCCTTCCGGCGGAACCACCGTGTGCTTCTCCGCTCCGCTTCGCTTTGGCGCCTATGGAGTCTTCCAAGGCCAAGGAGCCCTGGACAGGTTCCGAGCGCCGAGTCGGGTCCACGTTTTCGGTGGTGGATCTAGGGGGGGCATCGAACTAGTTCGGGTCACGGATAGGGGGATCTGGTGGATGAGCCACTTATTTTTTGGCCAAACACGACGAATTAATGGGACTGGCATCATAGGCAGGTACATGTCACCCCTTTTGAACCACCCCAAAGTGTGTGAAGTCTATATACATGGAGCGTCTGGGTTCAAGCAATTTCGAAGCAATCCCACCTGGTGATCCTTTGCTGGGTTCCCCAACCCTCTTAATGAGCTAGATCGGATGGGAAGGGATTCGAGCGAGCCCCTTGACTAATTCACAATGGAAAGAGTGCTTGGTATCTTCACGGGGGAGCTCTGTCGGTGGATGGTGATCCGACCGCAGATGTCGGGCGCTGTTGGTGTGCTTGTCTTGCAAGTGCAAGCTTCCCAGGCTGTAGAATTCTTTGTTTATCCACCATGCAATCGTTGAGTCATTTAATAAGTCATTTCTTTCATGGGGATCCTCAGGATCTCTTCGCATCTCTTCACCTCTCCAGCTACGGTTTGCTACCTACACTGGCGTGCGTGCAGTCTGCATCTGCGCATCCGGTAAACGCATCCATCTGGACCGCACTCCGGAGCTGTACCTTTTCTCAACCTCTCAGCTGCTCATCTGCTCTGGCTCGACCTGCTCGACCTGCTCGACCTGTTCTCAGGACCGAATGCGCGCGAACGCGCGCGAAACGGTCGGCCAGCTATACATTTCGTGGAGGTTTCCTTTGAAATGCTCTGACTGCTCGTGCTTCAGTGGTACATCACTGGGGTACATCTTATATTCCCTGGGCCCAGTGGCATATGAGACCTGGTGGCAGGCCATCTCTCCAAGTGATGGTTCGACTGACCAACCCCGTGATCCACGTCTCGGGGGCGTGGCTTGGATCGATATGTTCGACCAACCAACAGAGGTGGAAGAACCCGACTGTTCGACTATCCCAGTTTGTCACTTAACCAGCCAGTTGGAAACAGGATGACCACGAAGACCAGCCAGTTGGTGAACATGTTTTCGTGATTACAGGAGTGTACAAGCTGCGGTAGGGAAACTGTTGCACAAAAAACTTGTTTCAGCAAATCAATTGTGCTTCTAGGCCATTCTTGGTGAAGTCAAACTCACCGCGCCTCACTCATCTCCATGGTGCGCTCGCGGCGCGGCTCGCGCTTGGCTCGCAGCTACGCCTGAGCGTTGCGGGGCATTGCAGGAGCGGAAGGTGAAGGGTGCCTGTGAGTTCAAGCGTGCCTGTCTCAAAACCGCGGCCTTTATTTACAAGCAACAAGTAAACTACAGTAAACCCAACATTTGGCAAATTCTTGATAGAAACGGCCTTGGATAATGGTGTTCTGTCTAATGATGTGTCGTTTCTTCCAGTCACTTTACAATCCAAGGAGAAGCAAATACATCCCTCAAGAGTAACAGACTGATCTGCAACTACCATGCATGTTTTGCTTTTGACAGAAACCAACCAGTATATAAGAAAGTACTGCTATAGACCAAAGATGTCAAGAGATGTCCCAACAGATTGAAACGGTACATCTTCTTCTGTGGGATCACCTGTCTATAGACAGTAATCCCCTTTCTATAGGTACAGTTTTCTTACTGACCTATCCATTTGGGATGAAGCATCCCAAAAATTACCAAAAATTATGCAAAAACAAACCCTGGGACGCCCTACAGAGCCAGCGTTGTGGCCTCCATTCCCAGCATTGGTTTATATAAGGGAACATCTACTGCAAACCATTGTCTTCACCCGAAAAAACTGTGGGCTTCCTTGTATCCATCCCACACTTGACAGCAGCTCAGCTTCAGGCCAATCGAAACGTGCGTTCAGAACCTCCACCCCCATGCGGTTCCACGGCCGCGTCCCACCGTGGCGAACTACTTCGCCGCGGCCGGGCGCTCCCAGGTCACTGAGTTCTTGGGATCTGCCTGGGACGAGGAAGGTCGGGCGGCCAGAAGGTCTAACGACATAAACACCCAGTGACATAACACATAAACAAAGCACGTACATGGCCCCGAAAGCATGACCATTTTGCCCAATACCAAACAAGTGGTCTTCACTCCACGTAGCCATGATGATTTCTCGGAGTGTAGTCTTTCCCTAGGGCTCCAAGTATCTGCTAGATCTTCTAGGAATGTGTTTGGGGTGGGTTTGGAAGGTCCAATAAATGCCTTGGGTTAGGGGGTTCTTGGAGCCGCAGGGTTTGTAAACTAAACATGTCACCGGGATGGTCTCTCAGCTGTCGTTAGTTCTTCCCACAGCGACGTGACCGGAGGACGTCGTCCTCCAACGAACGGTCGATGTGAATCCGCTTTCATCCCGAGGGTCAAACCTCTGCCATGATTGTGCTGATCAGGGGGGTATGCATCAAAACTTGGAGCCCAAAACCCTCACTGGGTTGACCTCCTCAGCAGTTTTTTCAGTTCATGTTTCAGTGGTTGTCAGTGGGGGGTCCCCCGGCTTCGATCCACAACCCCAGTGGCACCGAACCGGAGGTTGTGAGCGTGGGATGGGCCTCCCGCCAGTAGTAGGGGCGCCCGGAAGCAGGATCCAAGTGCTCTCGCCAGCCTGGGAGGAAGAAGGGAAAGACATTGCTAGCTACTTCTTATCCAAAGGATTGTTCTAAAACATACCATCACATGTAAAATGTCAACGTTTATCACATAGATTCAATTATCATTGATATCCAAGACGGATGAATGGCACTTCCTTCTTTATATCCAAAGGATCCAGGACAAACCTATTCGAAGATCATTCTCGTTCCATGTCGACGAACCTCTGGGAAGTCTGGGAATGTGTTCACCTCAAAACCATTTGATCCAGACGTACCAGCACCTTGTGGGTTCCTTGTGGCTTTCCTGGACTGTTTCAAGTGAGTGCTTTTCAGCATCCTTGAGGGGCATCTCTCACGGCCTGCGGCACGTCATTTCATGGCGTCCCAAGTAGCGGCAACCACCCACATCGCATGTCAGCACAACCCACCGCCTTCTGGCAGAGGTGGTAGAGCGGCTGATAGTTTCTCAGCCGTATCCTGGACGGCACCACATGCATTGATTCCATTCGATGTGGTGTGGAACAAGCATAAGGACACTCATTATATTTCATGATCACTTATTTATATAAGAGAAACAATATATGTATTGGAGCCATGTAGCCTTGAGAACAAAGTTCCATTGACCAATGCGTACAAAATAACACATGCGACTCTGTAACTCTCTTGATGTTTGGTGAAGCTGGATATGCATATTTAATCCTTTAGCATCATCAACATCTTTTAGACATTGTCCTCAACCCCTGAGAATATCTGAGAATCTATATAATTCCTTGTGTTAGCTGGATGGAAACCCATCCAACAATTCCATGATTGGACACACGAGACCCAAGTGACCTGCCAAAGCAGGCGAACCATTGTTGGAAACCTCAAACAAACAAGGGGGGGAGTAAAACCTTTAAACATCTGTAAACATATCTGAAGAAAATAAACCAGGTTATTTAAAGGTTTAGTCCAAGTCCCACGCACTTTTACGCGCTTAGTCTGGGCCTGCTTCTGGCACACAGCCCGAGCTTGCTGCTGCTGGTAAAGGAAATACCTGCCGCAGCACCCCGAGCAAGCACCGGATGGCGTGGATGGCGAGGTTGCAAGCGTGCAAAAAACGAGATACCAAAACCCAACTTTTGCAACCCAGCATTTAAGTTATATAATTCACCATCATATCATAGCAACGACCATCTTTACAAGCAAGATCTGCACTACACCATTAAGATCTGCATGACTGAAGATGCCAAAAAACTCCACTCTCAGGATTCTTCTGCAGCCCCGAATCCGAGCTCCTGGCACTGCAAATGCGCCCAGCCCACTCGCGGCCATCAACATCGGCCACCTTGCTGAGCTAAGGACGTGGCTGGCGAACTATGAAGCTATGGAGAGAGCCATGACTTGTTTGGCCTTAATCAACATCAAAAATGAAGGCATTCAAACAACCGAGGAAATGATATTAAAGGTTTGTAAATTGTATTACGATGTGTTCCAGTGCAGAACATTGAGGCAAACCGAGCCAAGACCAATGTATTCAAATCGAAAAACAAAAACACCAAGAAACCAAAGGGTCCAAAGACTTTAACAACAGCAAACGCTGAGCCTGGGTTAACGGAACCTGGTGGGTGAATCGCCACTACAGTAGGTGGAAATGCTACTCTTCGTAGGCTCACGAGGCGCAAGACATGCCATTTTGATGTTGATATGCCTTAGGACAGGGACCTACGTACCAGTTTCTGAAGCCTGCGCTTTGCTTGAGAAACCCGTTGTTCCCGGCCTGCGACGTCCTTTGGCCGCTGGCTCCTCGGCAAAATGGCGCTGTTTGGGGGTGGCGCTGTTTTGGGTCCCAGAATCTCAACTAATCACAACAGAATCTGGTTTTGCATTTAAGAATGTTTTGGAATTAATTCTTGGGTCTGAGTCAGTTTGAGACACTTAATTCGATTTCCGGATTCTTTGGGGAGTCTTAAGAGCGATCCAGTTTTTGTGGGGAGTTTTGTTACTTTGATTGCAGTCCAGGATTCTTCACACAAAATCAGAGAAACAACCAATGTTGTTCAGTTGGGGCTGACTTGACTTGATCCATAGCTTCGCGTACCACCCCAATCAACCACTCCATGATCACACTAACATGGAACAGAATAGGTCTGCCTAAGTTTGATATTCAAGTCATTCACATTCAGCTTCTGGGTTGAGCTGTTTGAACCTTGTTCACTCATCGCACCGGAACCGGCGTGACCTGCAAATGAACAGAATTTGGAGGACTACTTACTACTTCTATTTCAGAGGTGCCGTTCTACCCTCTATACTATACAGTATGTTACTCCAGAATCTTTGCCTCCAGCGTCGAGACATCTGTAAAACCTGTGGCTATGCAATTGCAAGGTCAGAATGAAGGAGGGGGGGCCATAGCTTCCAAAGTGCTGTTCTCCTTGGTGAACAGTAGAGCCTGCATGATCAACATGGTCTTTCATTTGCTCAGGGCCTAGCAGGGAATCAGGACGACTACATGCCTGTTTCATCCTTTTTGGGCTCACGAGGTGCTATTCAAAACAATATCTCCACAAACGTTCCGTCATCTTCCGTTCACCACCGCCATCATCCATTCTATCTATGTCCATGACACAAACCAGCGGATGGACACCCCGTCCGTGGATCATGGACACGTTGGTGACCCCAAATCTTGAACCCCTCAGCAAGTCTGACCCACTCCTGATGCTGACTTCGCATGGACGGCTGGCGAGGCCTGACCAACATCCTTGGCGGCGCCGAACGTCTTGAAGAGCGTATTTCACGCTTTTTGATCAATTCTTCAGGACCAGGATGTCCCGGATCCACATGGCTCTCACAATATGGATCCCTGCGGAATCATGGGATGTCTCACTAACCCTTAGGATCCAAGTAACTACGGCACTATGTACGGCATATTTACGAGCCCTGGATGGGACCAAAACCACCCCGACATGTGACTCCAGGAGATTAGTGTTTGCCAAGCTTGATTGATGCATTCTCGTGACGACACCGTCGAGCTGCCGTGGCGAAATGGAAGCTGAAAAAGGGAAAACCAGCTTCTCAGAAACGCTTGTGGGGTTCTCATGTGACTTCATGGAATGCCCAAATCTCCACCCAAACAATGCATGGGACTGACGTATTTACCGATCAAATTGGGGTGATTTGAGGGGTCAATGTAGGTAGACCACCACTGAGCCAGGCATCAAGTTCTTGCGCTTCACCGCCTGCTCTGGGCAGCAAAGGGTGGGGAGAAATCATTTCCATGGCCACCCACCAAAAAGCTGGAAGTGGAAGAAAGATCTGTATTTTGTGCTCCTACAATAGCATGTGTGCTCCCGCACAGTCTGGTCTGTATCCAGTACTCTACTCCTACAAGATTCCCACAATAGCATTCAACAAGCAGCCTGGGCTTACTCCCAGGACAAATGAATATAAATCGCATGTCTCTGGGAAAGTGGCATGTCGCTCCCTCGCGCATGTCTACAGCTTTTGTGACCAACATATTCAGAACGGTCCTATGCACAAGCACATCGAATGACACACCACTGAGAGATCTAAGAGGTTCGATCGTTTCAGGCGGAGCTTCCACCGCAGCCCTCGGGTCTTCGCCCGGTGGCGCGCGCGCGCCACAGTGGAGACAGGCGGTGACCACGGTGCTGTCGCACGTCACCAGCGATTCTAAAAAGAGGACCAAATGGCAGACGGATCGGGTTCCAGGCCCCTGGTTCCTGAACAATTACTAAGAGAGGTTATCTGAAAAAAAAACATAATCTGGGGTACCAACATACGGAGGTTGAAGGACCACAAAAAAGGAATATACAATTATCTAATATTAAGGTACCCCAGGTCGACCGGATCCTTTTTCAGGTCATGGCATTAGTCTATGGGCTTCTGCCTGTTGGCTTGAACCTGTGGTTCTCGCACTGCCGATCGACTCTCTCCCTTAGTCGCAGCGCGGTGTTTCGCGCCTTCAACTCCCCACTGGCCAGGCGGACGCGCACGTAGCCATCCGGGTCCAACTGAACGCAGGTGCCCGCCTTGCCCTTGGAGTCGGGTAGCCCGGCTGACGTGGACGTGGATTGAGAGGGTTTGGCGCTGGCTCTGAGGGGAAAAGCCAACGAAGTAATTCATCCCGAGTACCTATCTAAAAACGGACCCTAATTTAAAAAACGTCATGTCGGATCCCCCTAAATACGGTTTATATTTGTCTTAAAATGTGATTTTTAAATTACCGCCCTTTCAAGCCGCTACTAAACTACCAATATGGCCGACTTTGGAGGGGTTTTTCTTATTAGGTTCGTAACTGCCCACCTCTGTCCGCCCTGTCTATCCACCATGACATGCCGCGCTTACACCAGCAGGCTTTCCTTCCCCCAATGGAATGGCACGGACTCACGCAAACGCACTTGCCACCGAGGTCATGCAACACCGCATGGCACAGCGACATCACCTTTCGACAGCTTTAGCTGTTAGTCTACTGAAGAATCACTATTCTAATGAAGGTGTTTGTAGGGGAAAAGGAAGACCCTTCGATCTGGAGTTTTTTTGCATTCTTGATACGAGTTTAATAAAGGATTTTATACAAAATTTTAATGGCTTACTTTTTGTTTTTGAAACTCTTTCCAGGTGACCCTATTTTGGACCCCCCGATTTCAGGGACCCCCTATAATGCGACCGAGGTTTCCTTATTAGGGGGGGGGGCGGGGGGGGGGCCTCGTGTTTTTTAATAGGTGGAAGGGATTAAGTAAACCATTGCAAAATGGCCCGTCCTCCGATTTCGGATGACCATTCTAGACCATTGTCCGAATACCAAACAGGCGGTGAAGTCCACTTCCATGATTGTTTCAGGGAGTGTATAGACTCTAGAATGACCTGTTGATCTGTCACAGCATGGCGGGAGAGTAGCTTGACACTATAGGTCTTAGAGTCAGGGATTTCAAGAATTCCATCAAAGCGTAGCCTAGGGTGGTGGCTTAAGTTCTATATATGTTTGGTTAGTTGAAATACGCTTCCCAAACTTCGCAATTTTGCAACAATTGGGAAGCAAAACGAGCCAAGACGTATGAAGTTGACCCGAGAACGGAGGAACTTCCCTGGTGCGTGCCGTGCCAGCGTCCTCGCCACGCGGGGGGGATCCAAACGGCCACTGGCGGGAAAAAGGGGTCAAAGAAAGATTCCTCGGGATAAACAAGAACTGATCTACAAATCTGATCCTGGACGGCTCGAGGGTTCCATCTATCTGGAAGGTTCAAGAAGCATCTGAAGTAGATCTGGATATTTCTGGAGTATGGAAACGTGGCTCTACTCCTGCTCCACTGAACCCCCTCAAGCCATGCAGATCGGCTTTTGACATCCACAAGAAAAGATCGAAGGATGACTTCCCCATTCCCAATGACTTGTCGCACACACATGGTTTAAGACCCAGGAGCCCATGGAGTTGTAAACTGTAGCATACGTTTTACAACTCCCGTGGCACTGGTCAACAGTATAGCTGTTTCAACTTCTATGCTGTTTCAAACCACTGATCAATCGCTGGTCGACCAACGCAAGACTTCTTCGGAAGGATCGCTTTCCCGGTTCCATTCCAGGGGCACCCACCTTAACGAGCTTCACTTACTCTCCTAAAAAGTCAGCCAATCGGCAACAGCTTTGGTGTACTTGTCCACCAGGAACACCAACCAGAGTTATGCTACCTCAAACAAGTCGCCTGATCTTTTTCGGCTCGATTCCCTCAAAAAACTCTCGAGTCGATCCGATCAATTGAAGAGATCCTCATGACCAAACACCCGGTGACCCCAAGTCACACCCCAAGTCGACTCCAGGTCTATTCAGCCCCGAAAAGCAGTCACCAAATTCTTGCACCCGAGGCCTCGTGTGTTCAAGAAAATCATCGCCCAAAAAAGCCACCAGGACCGTTGGACCATGGGTGCCTCGAGGTGAGGAAAGCGGTCCAAGCCCACCAAGCGCACGGGGGCGCCCGGTGAGAGCTCGTCGCTCCTGGTCGATATGAGATGCGAAATGGGCGGGGGGGAGAAGTCCAGGGTCGGCTTGGGGTGGTGAATGGACAACAACGGACACCCCTTTAAACTCTGAAGATTCATGAGGATGAACAGCCAAACCAATGGTTCCAACGCCGAAACAACGAAACCTTGGCGATCCTATATAACTGTTCGGTCGACTGAACCATGTCCACCGGGTGAAAAGTTAAAGGGCTGAGGGGCACTCTTGATCTGAACTATACCCTAGGGATCCAAGTACCTTCTCAGAAGGTGATTGGAGAATATTGGAGACACTGTTATGTAGGTTTGGAGGGTCCAAGTACCTTCTGAGGAGGTACTTGGATCCCTAAGGATGGACCATGGAGGTGTGAAAAAACTCTGATAAAGGTGCAGTGGTTGGGCATCCTGAGATTCGGGGTCGGTGAGGCCGGGCTGCGCCTGAGGATGGCCGAGACGAACTGAAACCTCAACACGCATCTGACAAAGATCTCAACACAACACCATTTGGTGGCTATAGTAGTGTTAGTAGCGCTGGATAGCGCTGGATAGCTGATGAGGAGACAGGCTTTGTAGCATGCTGGAGGCCACTACCTGTACTAGGGAGGCCATGCATGGCCAGCACAAACAAAATAACAGAACAAAAACAGGTGCTTGAAGATCCGGCTGTGAACAACGTGGACAACACACTTCAAAACACCAAACAAAAAAGAATCGGCCCTCCCAGCATGTCTCTCTGGTTGCTCCGAGACCATTTTCTCCGGCCGCAGCGCAAACATCCTTACAGGAATCACCCCGGAAGGCCATTCCAGCTGATTCTGCATGTGCCTCTGTTGTGCGCCGAGGTCGGCGTTTATCGCGTGCCACGCGCGGGCAACAGTGGGACGAGTGGTTGCCCAAAACGCGACCCATGGAATTGGCATATACATTGGCAAACGAAAAGGGATCAATGTAGAGTGTAGACATTTATTCATGGTGTTCCTGAGCTAGGGCCTGTTAGGGTTTGTCACATGGCAATGTTCAGTAATGTTTTGGCCGCTCATGGATATTGATGGGTGGGTTCATCGATGAAACTTCCAAGGACTGTGGGCTTGGGCTTCATGGTCCGAGGATGGTGGGCTCATCAACTGCATCCAGGCGTTTTGATTACAGGTGGCTGACCAGTATCCATTCTTCGCAGCGCCTCAAAGCAAACCCAAAGATAGCTTCTAGCTTCGCGTGGGGAGACCGAAGTCCCGGCCGAACGACGAACTGGAATTCAGTTGTGCATTCGTCTGATTTCGTCTGTGCCTTACGGCCCACAAGCCTCACCTCCATGACCAGGCTGATTGACACTGGCCCGCATGGCCAATGTCTTCAAAATTTTGTACACCCCAACCCAACCCCCCCGGTCAAATGGAACACTCAGACATCTATGACTGAATCTATTGATATCCCCTCTGGCCCCTCTCCACGCCCCTCTCCATCGCTCTCTCGCCCCCTGATGTTTTCCAAGAGAGGTTGAGGGACCTGAACTGGGGCCCGATACGTGGACCTATGGGATGGGCTATGTATATATGCATAGTATGCATCCAACCTAATAGCAATGGCCTCCAACAAAACATAGCGATGGCCTCCAACCTAATAGCGATGGCCTCCAACCTAGAAGCGATGGCCTCCAACTTAATAGCAATATGGCAATATGCTTCAACCTCTGATCCTTTTTGCTTAGGTACACCACTCGCAGCTGGGCCAAGGCAAACAGCTCTCGGTACTGCGTGGCCGTGCGCGCCAGGCTGTGGTCTGCCAGGTCAGCTTCCCAACGTACAGGTGACCTCAAGCCGCTGAGGTTGTCCTGGAGCGAAACGAGATCAGCGAGACCAACGAGATCGAGGCAGGGAGGAAGCATGGGTCCAGTCATGGTTTCCAGAGATGTTTCAGAACCCCATCCAGCCTATCCCATATAGGCACCCCAGGTCGACTGGCCGGAGCCTGTTTTCAGGTCACGTATGGTCTTCGTCTCTTGGTGTCCCCCGGTCGTCCTTGACGCAGATCATGCCACCAGGCCGCAAGCGATCGCGACACCTGCAGAGTGGGAGAGTCGGCCCATGAAAGGCACAGTGGGGAGTGGATCGAAGAACTGGTTTGCTGGGTGGTTTCAAATCACCAAACATCAATGAGTCAGCAGGTGACTTTGTCACCAAGTTACTGTATATGGATCGCTACTGGCACCCTCTTCGGGTGATTGGACACTTTTTATGTAGCCTTGGAGGGTTCTATAGTACCTTTTCATGAGAAGGTATTTGGATTGCATCCGGATCATCCGGGTCATCCGCAAAGGTTTTTCTGAAAACATCTGAACTGACAACCACCACGCAATACGAACCATTTGGACCCGACGACCAATAGCAGGTCGCCGAAGCAAGGTCGCCCGTCTTTCAGTCTGATGTCTCAAGGAGACAACATCTGATCCGGGCGGGTGTCCCCAAAGAACCACTGGCTGTCCGCAAGGAACCGCTGATTGAAACCATCAACGGGATGAAACCAGAAGTGCGGAGATGCTTTTCCAACTTTGAAAACATCTGTCCAACAGTTCAACCGAAGTTGAAGTGCCGAAAAACATCTGTCCAAGTTTCTACCCAAACGGGGTCTTGCTGAGATTTGCTGAGTCTGAGTCGGTGTGGGAGTCTTGCTGAGTTTCTGTATCACACCCTGCAGCAGATGTGCTCTTGGGTTCCTCGATTGGAGACTTTGGAGTTTGCAATAAGCCATTTGATCACATCACAGAAAGGAACATACTGATGCCGCCAAAGCAATGAAACATAATGAAACCAAAAAAGGGCACAAGAGATCAAAAGAAACCACACTCTCAGTGGGCACCACGGCACTTGCTAACCAGCTAGCTCGGTTCAGGCTTGTGGTATGATAGTCTAGTCCAGAAACATCTTCAGGTTTTCCATTCTTGGCCTACTTCAAGAATTGCACCTGCTCTGATTGGTTTGGCTCTGCTTTTTGTTTCAACTGGTTCTCCGGATTTCTACAAACCGAATCTCACGGAATGAACAAACTATCCACCACCCCAACAAGTTCGCACACTTCCAAGTGTAGACCACCACTGCTCTCTCATTCTCTTGGAGGAGTCTCTTGTATTTGACAGTTCTAATTGCTCAGATTCAACAAAGCCCCCAACTATTTACCAATCCTGCCGATGCATCGACCAGTACTTGGATAACCAACCCTGCAGCAGGGGTGGCCGTGCACCGAAACAAAACGCCCGAATCCGACTCTTCGTGCGCCCCAACGGGGACGATTTTGGTTGCGCCTGGATAACAAGGCGACCAAGTCATGGTCCGTGAGATGCAGCAAGACCCACTGGAGCCAGATCACATCATAACGGTCCTGTGAAGAAGGCAGTCCCAGTCGCTCTTTGGGGACGGAAGTCCCAGTTCCTTTGGAAGTTTGGACCCAAACTTCACCAACCAGGGCATGATCGATGCATGTTGGTAAACCAAACAACATGAGGAGTTTCTTCTGCTGAAAACGCAGAAAAATCAGGTCAAACAGGTGTCTCGAAACTCAGGTGCCTTGAGGGCAAATGTAACAATTCACCATCATGAACACAATTTCACTGCAATGTTTTGCCGGGGTATCCTGAGGTACATGAGAACCTTCCAGAAAGCCTTGTTAGGTGTCCTTGGTCGGTGTGAAGTCTTGCAATGCTTTGGCCAGAAAGCCTCATGGGTGGGCACGCATCGACGTGGAGGTGCGCAAAAATATGATGGGGAAAAGTTGTATATTTACCATCGTGGGGGGGTAGTTTGAAGGGCTAATGTAGCTCGGTTTTCAGTGCCATGGTTTGTAATACATACCTAGCTGGGACATCTGTTTTCTTAAGGAGCGGATAACACACATAACATATTGACCAGAACGGGATCTAACATGATTCAATCATATATAGGTAAAATACATAAAATAAACCATTGCCTTCAGCAAAACCAGCTTTTGCCGCTCGGCTCTATCTTTATTTTCAGGTGGTCGATCGCTTTGTTCCCAGAACTACAACTCCCAAACACTCCATGGGACTGCCCTGTCGGACTGCCGAGTGGCACGGCCAGGGGTGGTGCCAGGCTGGGGGTCTGGCTGGGGCGGCATCTATGGCAGTCCCATGGAGTGTCTGGGACTTGCACACGATTGCGGACTGAACAAATCACAGGACATGGCTGTAGGTCAACCCCTGGATGCCTTGGTTCACCTACCGACGTCGTCACGTCGTTCGCGGCAAATGGTGGACTGGTCGGGTTCCAGGTCTTGACCCATCCCAGCGGTTGATCTGCATTTTCCTTCATGTCACTCCTGGTCCTTCTAACCTGCAAGGAACCGTAGTCGTTGCTGGTACCTGTTACATAAACCCAGTACCCGCTGACCACGCAAATGTTCTCTCCTTACCTTCATGAACTTAAAGCCACCAGCCGACTAAAATAAAACAACTGCATCAAAGTAGATTCAACAACAAACAATATTCATGCTCGATTATAGTTGCATCATGTTGCATCCTCAAACAAGCTTTAATATGTCTTTATAGAACTGCGAAAAAAAAAACTTGATTGTTCTTTAACCAGAAAGCTGTCAGGTCATTCAAAAACGCTTATCTCACCTCCCTCTCTCTCTCTCTCTCCCAATGCACCAACCCACACCCCACCAAGTCCAGCTGCGCGTGCGGCTTGCGTCTGCCCGGAGCCGTTGCCGCGCGGCCGCCCGCAGGGGTCGGCAGGGCTCGAGGAGGTCCACGGCGCCGAAGCGCGGCAGCAAGAGGCTCTGGGCCACCTGGCGGAACGAACGGCGCCACACTTTGGACGATCCGAACGAACGGCCTCAGCTAAGGGACGCGCGAAGGACCACCAGGTGCTGACCCAATAGACTCTGGGCCAGTGCCTTCAAGTTAGGCTGCAAAAGAGGTGAGAAGTGACCTGATTGGGAGGGTAGCATACCACCTGGGAGGGAGGGTACCATCAGGAGGCACTCTTATGAGGAGGGCTACCCTTCTGGAGGTGGTACTGTGAGTCTGTGAGGGTACCCTTGTCAAGAGGGAGGCACTCCTAGCCACCTCAAAGAGGGAGTGCAGGGACGGTGGCTCACCGAGCTGGGTAAAAAGGCGATTGGAGTTCTCGTCTACGAGGGGGACCCAAGGTTGACCGATCGATACGAACCATGGTCGCCCATGGTCGTCCATGGCTTGCAAGTGTGAAAAAGCTATCGCGCGAGAGTACTTGGGGGCGAACGTTGATACCCGCCCTTCGACGTTCATCTGATTTGTCTCAAAGAATCTTAGGAATCTGTAGCGGGTGGAGCACAAGTGGAGCGTATCGAGGGGCTCAAACACAAAGTATGAACGAAGTCCGGACAGCCGCAATGGCTACGATTTTCCGCCGACCGCAGTGGTCGAGTCAGCGCTCGAAAAGGGGCCCCTGGATTCGGGCCAAGTGGCATGGAAAAACATGGATGCAACAAAAGCTCAAGCTCAAGGCCATGGAACCTGCACCGGCAAAAAAGGTTTTTGAGTCTTTGACCCATTTTGGCCTGAGCTTTCAAAGTCATCGATCTTCTTCACAGCTGTGCGACCTTGTCGCTTGTTCTTCTTGGCAGCCGTGAACGATGCATCGAATGCAATGGCCCAAAGCCATGACTTCAAAAATCTCTCTAAGCCGATGCGCGCCTCGGGGCGTTTCTTTGTGAGCCCGTCGGCTAAGTTGTAGTCCGACGCAACCCACCTCAACGTGCAGCCCGTGCGACGCAAATTGTCGCGCAATTGAAATGCTTGAAGGGCCGCTCGGAGGTTTGTCAAACCTAAAAGTGGAGACTCACTGACTTCAATGGCGTCAAATCCTCCTCTTGAGTCTGTACACAAAATGCCTCTCACTAAGCGAGCCACCGCCTCCATGGCATCCACCATGTCAAAACCACGTGTGGAAGCCACGTGCTTCCCAGCGCCATGGAGCTCTGCCCAAAGCACCCTTGAGCGGAACAGGACATCCTCGGTCTCGAGAATCGACTGCACTTCTGCGTCGTTTGATCCCACCGCACGGCGCTTCAGCTTCCAGGTGCGCCAAGCTAGCAGCGACATCTTGCTCACCGCTCCATCCAGGCATTTGGGAGAAGATGCCAGGATCACCATCCCACCAGTGCTTCCCCCTTTCTCTCTATTCGAGTGGGCTTGATCACCCATTCCCACAAAAACGACTTGGTCCCAAGACTCACAGTCAAAACGACTGAACTCCAGACAGGTGGCTTGGGCGCGGCACTCATTGATGATCGCCTGGATCTCGCGAGCACTCTCCAAGGTTCCAGCGGTGGTGATTTCAGAGAGCAAAAGGTTGCAGCGGGCAGTGATGAGTGGTTGGCTCTGGACAGCGAGCCATTGGAGGGCTCCAAGTGCTGTCCTGCATGCGTTGACCTCATGAGGCGCCAAGGGACCTTGTTCTCGAAGGCGCTGAGGGTCGATGCTGATGTCAGCCAAGCCCTCGACGTAGAAGCTCTGATCCACTTGGATGCGGAAGCCACCATCCTTCTCCTCAATGGTGTGCACATCGGACCCGGCGTGGCGGTAGGAACCACGTTTCTTGCTTCCCCCGTTGTAGGAGGTGTCGATGAGCTGCACCACCTCTTGCCACTCGGGAGAGTTCTCGTCGCCGATCTGGTGGAAGTCGTCGACGTGTCCTCCCATGAGACCGAGCAAGCGTGGATTGCCAGTGACGGGATCCATCTCGTGCTTGCTGTACCAGGCCCACAAGCATCGCTCGCCTCGGATGGCGCGACCGCCCAGTGAGGTGAGCTTTTCATTCAGGCTCAGCCACAATCCCCTAGGAGCGGTGGTGCTCCCGTAGATGTTGCGCAGAATCCGGAGGCAGGAGTGTTCAGGCACTCCCAAGGCCTGACGGAGCTCAGTCACTCCCGTGGTGTAGAGCTGATCATCGGCTTCAGTGGGCATAGTTTGCAAAAACGCTGTGGCCAAATCTAGGCCAGTGAGGCGCCATTGGTGCACCACGGAGGCCAGGTAGATCATGTGGCGTCCAAGCGTTGAGATCACCGGGGCACTGGTTTTGAAGTTTCTCTCCAACAATGATGGGTGTTGGTAACCTAGGAGGACGATGCGAGCCTTGGCTTTTCGGCTGATGGTAGCATCCACCACCGTTTCCGGGTTGGTTTCACGATCACGGATGCTCTCCTCCACCTCGTCTGGTGGAATGGGTTTCCAAGTCAAGACACATCTGGCCTTGAGAATTCTCCCACTGCCGAAGGCCTTCTTCACCTCCTCATCGCTCAAACAACGCCGAACAGCGCCATTCTTCAGGAAGGAGTTAACTTCCTTTGCCTTAGCTCTGGTGAAGAGGATGAGATCATCGGGTCCCAGAGCTTTGAGCGACACCTCGGCAGAGTTCAGCTTCTTGGTCAGGTACAGGACGGGGTCCAGCTGAAAGTTGCGGCGATCTCGCCTATTCTTGAAGTTCAGGTCCAGCTCGATGTGCAGACAGTCACCTTCATAGGATTGGAGGAAGGTGAACAGATCTTCATGGGTGACTTCTTGTTGAGCTTCTGCATGGAGCTGTTCAAGCCACTTGAGGTCATATTCTGTTCGATGGTCCAGCTTGGCCTTCTTGGCTTCTGGAACTTCGAGGTCGGGCTTGTCATAGTCGTTCACGGCTTCTGACTTGTCAGCGACGTCATCCATTCGTTCCTGAAGTTCACCAGGATCAGGTGGTTCTGTGGGCGTGTAGTCCGCCATAGGGATCTCAGGCTGTGGAAGGTACTGCTGAGGCTTTGGTGCCTCTCGCACTTGTCCAATTGGACTTGATCGATGTGTGCTCTTGTAGTCGGGCTTGAGGTGCGTCTTGACCACCTTGTAGTCCGATGGTTGGAGAGTTGACTTTCCAACAGCCCGTCGAATCGGTGCCAATGTCGTGGCATTCGGCTCTGGCGGCAAGTCTGGTAGTTCACGATCACGATCAGTGGGCTCCTCATTTGTGATGTCTTGATATTCCCTGCGGGGAATCAGATCTTCTAGCGTCTTCCAGAGAGTGGGATCTTCACCTCCATGAAGTTCATGTTGTAGTCGCTCGGCCTCATTGACAGGTCTGACAGAGTGGACCGAGCATCGCCATAGTCGGCGGCCAACAAGAACCCACAAGATGTGTTGTCTCTGGTCGGTCACCTCTTGATGAGGTATGCTCTCTGCGAAAACCACTCTTCCAGGGCCTACCCATCGTGGTCGACCTGATTTCTTGTGACCTCCTCGAGAGCCTTGATGCTGTTCGCCGGCTTGGACTTTGCGCCAGATCATCACGAGGTCGGTGGGACTGTAGGTCCTCAGAGGTTGTTTGACCGTGGTGTTGGTCAGTTTGCTCATCACCCTTTTCGCACGCGATCGTCTCGCGATCTCTTCAGCTTCTGCTCGTGCCTTGGAGATTCGCAGAAAGTCCTCCTTGGGGTCAATGGCATTCCATACCCGAATGTCTTCGTCGGAGATGGCATAGCGAGCGCCAAAAGCCCATTGGTGTGCAGAGTATCCAGCAGTGAACTCTGTTCCATTCAAGGCGGAGGCAGCCAAGGTGAGGGAAAGAGCTGGTGTGTTGTCCAAGGCTTCAAGTTGTATAGCACTTGCAACATGTTTGATGTCAGCAATGGCAGCCTCCACAATGCCATGACTCCAGGGTTCCTTCTCTGGTGGGAAGTGCAGCTGAATGTTCTCTGCCTCACAGAACTCATGGAAGCGGGCGCTGACAAAGCTTTTGGCGTTGTCCGCCACGATGAGCTTGGGTTTCGGAAAGTGCGCCAGCCAGCCATGTACAAGACCTTCAATGATCTCTTCGGAGGATTCTGGCTGCATTGCCAGTTCAGGGTACTCCTTGATGAGCTTAACCGCACGGAGCTTGGTAGCGAGGTCAATGATGAGGATGAAGCGTGCTTTCTTCTGTTGTCCTGGAACGAGCCATTCAGCGGTGTCAAGGCCAATGCATTCCCAGGCACCAGGAAGTGGATGAGTTGCAGCAGGTGGAATCTGTCCTGATGAAGTTCCGCCCAGCTTGAGAGACTTGCAGGTCTCGCATTGGTGTTCAAGAGCGGTTTGAACCTTCCAGGCAGGACAGCCTGCGTCACGGACCAGTCTGGCCAGGTTACGAGCTGTAGGATGTCCTGCTGCCTTGTGGAAGTGTGACAGCCGTGCTTGCCACTTTTGAAGCTCCTCCTTCGAAGGACTCAGTGACGAAGAGCTCGAGGATGGTTCCGCTTGTAGGGCAGGTAGTACATGAGGTAGCTCTTCCAAATGATGAAGCTCTTCTTCAAGTGTGATCATTTCCGGCTGATCTTCCTGGGCAAAGACGAGCTTGAGGTTCCGGTCGGACACATGCTCCTGTCGCCAGGTCAAGGCGATGGATTTGCATAGTCTCCATGGGTAGTAGGAGCTCTTGGCAGTTTCAATGCCTTGAATCCAAGTATGGCTGTGACCTCCAGGACATACCTTACATTTGAACTTGCTGTGGAATTGCTCATTGGTTCATGACACGCCACTGCTTCTTGAGGAAGCCACCGGATTCATCAGAAGCTCGAAGCCCATAGTTGCAGCCGTCAATCCGGCATGGAAGCCATTCACGACCGTGATTGGCCAGGATCTTGTGGATGTACTCGATGGGGTGTTGGTTCCAGCCTTCACAGGGCCAGGGCCATTCAAAGTAGATGTCCACCCACATCCTCGTTGAGGATCTCCTCGATGAAGTGAGCCGCCATCCATAGCATCCTTCTCTCACGCCGGCGGTACTTTTCCAGTTGGGCAC